AATATTTCTATAAAAAGCCTCAAAATGAGGGAGGGACACTCTTAAACATTTCCCATAAAATAACATAAAATTGTAACTCATTTTCAAATCAAAGTTCGCCAACGAAAACTAAAGTTTGCTTCGTTAGTGGTATTCGAAACAACAATCTTCAACAGTTCAAATTTTTCTGTTCACAATAGGTGAACACCAGTATGCATTCTCTACTTATTAGATCTGTCTTACAAATGCCATCATACAGCATATTTTGATTGCACTTGACAATTTCCAGACGTAGAGCTAATGAGGTGAAATTAAACAGGAATTTCTATGAAAAAGTCATAACGGCTTGTCTGACGAACGGTACCCCATGCATGATCAAAGTTTGATAATGTTATTCGGCAAAGTGCTCATACCATTTCATAAAGGACAGACTATAACTTTAGAAATGGCGTGTTTTGTTGTCGTTGAGGCGTTGGAAACTAATAGTTTCCTAAAGCAGGAAAACATCTCGCTTATGATTAGTCATCCAGCAAATATTTTATTACTAATTCTAATCGCTCCTGTAGATTTTTATTTGCAGTCATCTGTAAATTTGTACCGATAAGACACTCACTCAGGTTTGTTTCGCACATCATAAATACAAGTATAAATGAGCTACGTTTATCATTTAGATAAGCTTTCTTTGCAGTGTTTACTTGAAAAAACGTATCAGGTGCAATGAAAGAATGTCATCGCGTTACCCAGACTTTGATCTGTAGATAAACAACCAAACCCTGATTAAAATTTCGATCTGATATTTCAAAAGCCCTACGTTATAGCTAAAAACCATCCACTGGACACTTTCATCAATATTATCTACATTTAGAGAAAATCTGAACTCTTCGACTGCCACTGGAAAGAACTTCCATTTTTGGTCATCGCGTTACCGACCGTACAAATGCTGTATTATTTGAATAGTAAGTAGTAACCCGAAACTTTTTACACCATTTATAGAAGCCATCGGGATGTAATAAATAATGCGACACATTTACTTTTACTCCTGTCCACAAATGTGAGAAAGTAAACATTGACGCTGAAAATATGTCATCGCGTTACCTGCGGACAGGCCGATAATGAATCCCACCGGTTAAAATAAAAAATCTCGCAACTGCCACTCTCGCAACTGTCAGGTCATGGTAAGAATTTTCATGAATCCTTCTACAAAAACTAAAACCTTCAAATAGTGACTACTATGGAGAAAGAATCGTACAAATTTGATAAAAATCAAGTACAGTTCTCCAAAATTTTCAGAGCAGAGATATAGTGTGATATTAGTAATATTTTATATGTTAAATATATTTTATATTAATATGTTAAATATTCAGATATTAGTTTTTGAAGAACTCAGTTTTCTAGAAGAGCTCTGGTTAGTTGTTGCTTTGATTGCTTGAGAATACCACTAATATATATGAAAAAGCGGTACATTCTTTTTATTAATTTTAAAACATATTAGGAACATGGTACATCTTAAAACTCATTATATTTTCGCCAGAAATTTAAAGTTATTAATTAAAGAATATTTCAGACAAAGTTTGATTTATGTCCAACAAGTCCCTGACAAATGACATTTGCCATAATATGCATAAGTATCTCATGTATCTAATAGTCTGATTCTTTGTCAAATTTTTTCCACCTATCCCATATCAAAAGTGATCAAGGTTTACAATCATTTTGTAAAAAATTTGGCTGTCATGGTAAAGGCAGTTTTAAAAACACCTCTCCGACTGCGAATAGGAGTGTACAACTCGGCTCATAGGATGGTTACGGGTACAAAATACTCTGGTATGAAGCAAAGATTACAGGTGCAGATTGAGTTTTCACTATGATTCAGTGCAGCAGTTAGTTTTTTATTGAAGTTTTGTCTCCCCGGCTACCGATACGAAAACTCGCATTCCATTGCTAAATTTTCTATGGAGCTTGTCGCATCAATACTCGAAAATTTTTTTTTTCATAAAAAGAAAGGTAAAAAACGCGCTTTCCTGATCTTGCGTAATTTTCCGTCTCCGCCGCCGCCACTTAGTAATTTTCTGCCACTAGAAATTCCACTAAAATTTTAGTAAATTTTCGCCTCCGCTCAATATGACATTTATTTGTCTTCTAAATCATTTTTGACTTAGAAACTTATTAATTAGAAGAATATACTAATACAAGAAAAAGTTGATTCAAGCTTGAATAGTCATAATTATATAAGAAAATGTCAAATCATTCAACTGCTCCATTGAGTGCAAGGGAAAATCACTTAGAGCCCCAAAAGCACCTAGTTGCTCCATTGCGACAGGTTTTTCTGATTTTTCTTTGAGTTTTGCAACTAAATTGCCCAGTTCATTTGCCCTATCTCGTAACTCGTTCATTTTTTGTATTAACTCCAGGTCTTTGGTCATGGATTTAATAAAAGGAGCTCCATAAGCATTTTGTAAAGCACAAACTATTGTAACAAGATCTCCCACGGTTTTCAGAAGCGAATTAGGTAGAGTTTTGTCAAATAAACGCCATTATTTTATACATCCGTTTACACTCTCAACAACCCATCTTATTTTCGTAACTACACGTGCTTCGTTAGCTGTTGCAGTGTCAAATTCTTTGGTTCCTTTTGTAAGAAAAGCAGGCGTGTACGTTTGATAGCCCAAAAAGTGCAAATAATCCAAAGCATCTCTAAAATCCCTACCAGTGCTGTGCTCATTGTTCGTCGATCATTTGGTATTTAGCATACGCTCGCAAGCATCCACAAGAGCTTAAGCAAAGTTCGGCGACCTTCTTAGGATCTCTATCGAACGCTGCTGATTATTCAGATATCTCCGACGACAGTGACCCTGATACAAATTCTGACGATGATAACACATTTTACGAACTTGCATGAGAAGTCACAAGTATTCCTTTTTATCATTTTGTTTAAATAAACGAGAGACAAAGCAGCTTCTTCGTTCGTTCGCCGCTCCCTAGGGTTTAGATTAAATGTCAAAAAAATGAGAAAAGAAAGAAAACATGCGTTTTCTACTAGATATATTGTTGTGAGAAGTGAATTCAGTGATATATTTGCTAAAAGAAAGGTTTTTAATCCAAAAACATGGCTAGAAAGTGAGAAATTTCCGAAAAACCTCAAAACCCCCATACAATGGGTTTCAAGACTCGAAACCTCACTTTCTACATCAAATTTTGCCTTGAATGGCACGTCGTTGGAAAAAGCATGTCCTCATCTATCTCTGGTAAAAAGATCTTTTTGGTCCAAGCTTTCTAGGTGCCCCTTCGAGGTCCAGAACCTTAAAAACCCCAAATCCTTCAGGTTTTCAGCGGCTTTTAGAGAAAAATTTTGCCTAACTTTTCAATTTTAGCATATTAGGATTCAGCATATCGAGTTACACATAGGAAAAGTCATGTGGCAAACAAAAGAGCACTTTTGTCGAAAATTTGGGGCAAAAACTCGAAAAACCCGGGTTTTGAGCCAGATTTTATTTCTATTGCCATTTGGACAGACCGCATTTTTTCGAGCTGCGGTTGCGATATTCGTGATCAGCATCAAATTCTGAGTCAGACAACGTGTTCTTCAAAATTTTTGGACAAAAAAATTTTCGCTTATCCCTGAGGGAGACCCTTGCCGTGATATTTTGGGCAAAAAATATTTTTTCAAATTTGAAAGTTCTGAAAGCGCTGTCTTGTTCAGAATTTGATGCTAATTCCAAATACGTATGATTTATAACGAAATGTTTTAGGACGAAGATGCCACTTAATGGCCCTCCTCCTTAACTAAAATTTTAGTGGAATTTCTAGCGGCGGAAAATTACCAAGTGGCGGCGGCGGAGACGGAAAATTACCCACGATCCGCTTTCATTCAAACGTGGCGCGTCATTTCGTTTTCTTTATTTGTTCGCGAAAAACGCATTTTAGTGCATTTTTCATGAACGAAATAAAAATAAGAAAGTTCATTTTCTACACGTTCTTTTTATTTTGGGTCTTGATGAGATAACTCACGTAGAAAATTTCGCAATCGGATCCGTGCACATCATTATTTACGAATCACAGTCATTCGTACGCCGTACTCAATCTTGATAAAAAGAAGCGTTTCTTCTCTGAATCAAAACAACTTAAAGATGTTCTAATTCCTGATTCTTATTTGTCACAACTATATCTGAATTTTCATACTATCGTATGAATCTAAACTTGTGTATGTAAAAGATTTTTGAATTTAACCGACGGAATCCTCACCAAAGTTGAATTTTATACCCAAAGTAGAAATAAACAAAGATTAGTTTTAATTTTTTTAAACTCGACTTATTTGACTTTGTTCTTTTGCCCCCGCTTTCTAGCTATAGTTTAAGTTTCTGATACGTGGGTTGATCCTTCCTACGCGCGCAGTCCTCGTGACTGCCGTCCCGTAACACTTCTTCCAACTAATGTAAGCTGAGAATATATACGCTAAACGTCACCAAAAGGCAAGTTTTCAAGGCTTGGTCTTTCCTGTAGCTAAACAAACGTGGCTGTAAAACAAGTTTGTTAACTTCTGAAAATTAACCAGTGTAATTTGTCGAATTTGATAAACTTCGTACAAGAGTAGAAAGAAGGTAACATTAATTGTTTTTATTTAGTAGAACATGTACAAGTAAATACAAAGTAGAACTGAGTAAATTCACATTGCATTGACTACTCAGTTACAAATAATTGCATTATCACAAACAATCATACTGTTTAATGAGAAGAAGAAGAAGAAGAAAAACGTATAAGCCGATACAAACAGAGTTTACGCGTACACACAAAAACGAAAAGTATACAAATTGTAATTATCACATAGTTAACACATTCCCGAAAGAATTATAAAATCACACTACGGTTACAAGATAAACCTGATATATGAGATCAAACACCATCTGACTCATTAAATTTAATCAGTAGGTAAGATTAAGAAAAAATAATTTTCAATAAAATGCACATATAATAATATCAAGTCAAGCGAAGAAACGTGGTTTATTTCAATATTTGTAGCAATACAGTTAGTATGTTCTAGGATCGATCCCCATGCGAGATGGTGAGTATGATCGTGCCCGATGATTTGTATCGTGTCTCCTTGTTACGGGTGAAGGACTACGTACACGAGTATGCGCTGAATGTCGTTGAGTATTATAACTATGGGATGAAGGATAATAATGGCGTTCTTGTTGTGGTACCTGAACAACGGGAATAGCCATTGTTGGTTGCACAACTGATAATAATCTTTCGAGGCGTGCCGTTATTTCATAATCCGGTACAGACAAGGTTTTGGCATCCAAGCCAAGCATAAGTGCAATTTGACCACGAAAATCAAGTAACTATAGAAGAAAAAAAGAAAAAATAACAGATCATGGATGAAACTGTTTGTCTCAAAACATACGCGTCGTTCTCGATCTGACATTTGTTCTAATGAACTTTTAAGAAATCTTAATTCATTCGATAAAGATCGAACGGCACTATCTGATGAGAATAATGTACGATTGGTTTCTTCGTCAACATTGTGCATTTTATCTTGTAAATTAGAAATTTTTACCGCTTGTTTATCACGAGCATTTTGCAATTTACTATTATCTTCTAATAAACGATGAATTTCTTTTTCTTGTTCTATTGTACGACTCTATAAATGAGCAGCAAAGATACTATTCGTTCTATAGATCATCTCACTTTGTTATTTACCTTCAACATATGAATATCAGTTATTTGTGCTTTCAATTGTGTATTTTCATGTTTCAATTCATTAACTTGTTCTGTCAGATTATCTACTTTCACCTTCATTTTCCTACTTAACGTTACATGATCATCAATTTCTCTGTCTAAATCTGATTTTGAATTTCGTCCTTCTTCAAGAGCAATAACTTTTTTACGTAATAAATCTAAATGTAAATCTTTATTTTCAATTTGTTCTTTCAATTGTTTTATTTTACGTTGTAACGAGTAAATATTTGTTTTTTGATCAACAACTGAATCATTTTCCGATCTCATCAGTTGTTCAGCACGTGCTAATATCACATCCGCATTCAATTCATAACCAATATCATGTGAAATATTTTCAATTTTCATAATCGATGCTAAACGTTCAATAAAGTGTAGAAACTAAATGGAATAAAAAAAGCTAGAGAATATAATAAAAAATATGGAACTCTCCTACTTTTACTTTATCATGCTTTAGATTTTCTCTATAGATCCCTGTTGTTGTATATTCATTATCAAGTGTTTTTACACGTTTTTCTAATTCTAATAAATGCTGTTCAGCATGATGACGTTTCGAATCGGCCTCGTTATTTAATTTAATTTGTTCTTGCAATTGTTTGGATAAACTTTCTTTTTGATTTTGTAAATTGGTGATAATAATTCCTCGATCTTTTGATGATTGCATTAATAATTGTATTTTTTCTTTAATTTCATCTTCTTTTGGTTCAACTTTAACATATCCATCGGATAACAATTGTCCAACTTGTTGTTTAAATGAATCTAAACATGTTTTTGCATATAATGCATCATTTTCTATTTGTTTAACATTTAATTGATTTGATGAGAATTTTTGTTCACGATTATCTAATTCGTGTTTAGTATTTTGCCACGCTTTTTGTACGCTTTCCAAACGAGATTTAACCGTCTCAAGTTCACGACTAATCGATTCTTTATCATTTAAAGCTGCATCACGTTCACCTCTTAATGTATCAATTTGTAATCGACTACCAACACCATTTTGTTCATAATTTCTTAATTGATTAGCCATTTGTTGTACAGTTGAACGATTTGAAAATGATTCAGCTTCTAATGATCGAGCTTTTTCTTCCATTTTAACTAATCTACCTTTCAGTAATGTATTTTCTGCATTTATATCAGATATCTTGAAAAGAGATTAATATTACGACTATTAATCATTATCTACAACCTATTAATGTTACTTACTTTTGTCTTTAAATTTTCTAGAGCCATTGGAGTTGGAACTCCGTAATCCGGTCCCAATATAACATTCAATTGTGCAAATAATTCATGTAATTTTTTATTTAATCCTTCTGTTTTACGTTCACTTGATTCACGTTCTTCCATGTGTGTTCTAAGAGATAAGAATAATAATCAAAATGTTTTAAATATCTACAATATATTTTCACATACCTTATTCTCGATTGTAATTCTAATAATTGTTCTTGTTTTTCTTTGATATCATTTTGTAATGCTGTTATTGTTACTGATGATTTATTAGTTACAGATTCATAACTACCTACATTCTGCTCTAATTCACGAATACGTATTTTGAATTGATTATTTGACTTATTCAAAATATCATGTTCTTTCTTCAATGATTCAACTTCATGTCTTAATTCATTGATACGTTCATCTTTTCCTGATAATTTTATTGTACATTCGCGTAACTAAAACATAAATACAACGAAATTTTAAACTATGTCGGGTCTTAGTTGAGAAACGTGTTCGCTTCTATTACTTCATGAGTTAAACTTTCTACTCTCGTTTGTAACTGTGAAAGTTCTCGGCGAGAATTTTCCAATGCATTACGTTCAACACCACCCATGGGATCATACTGCAAAAGAAAAGTGATTTATCATATTCAAAATAATAATGACTTAAATAAATAAATACTTTTGATGTTTCAAATTGGATATGTTTATTGACATCTCTAAAATATAATAGACGCTAGTAATCATCAAAATCAGCCTAGCAGATTATGTAAAAAAATGATACATTGTCGTTTTTTTGTATGTAAGAAGAGACTATTTTCAAATAAAAATATTTCTTGAGAGTTCGTAAATCTACCATAATCTACTCACTATGAGCAAGTAAACAGTAGGAATACTTGGTCATAATCAAAAAAAAAAACAGGAACATTGGGAATGATGGCGTGATCCTAGCAATAACTAAGTGAGACGAACCAATGATTCTCCAGCATACCTCATCGTGGATAATTCTTGTATTAAACCATCTTTTTTTTCAAGATCTTTTCTCAATAGTCTTAATTGGTCTTGAAGCTAAAATGGAATAAAAAACAAGAATAAGTTTTGCTAGAATTCTCATCACTCTACCTCTATGAATTAAAAAAAAATTTGCTTACGTCAGTCACAATTTTTTTCGGCTCATAATTATTACTCGTATCCTGATATTGATACTGTGTTGTCGGTGCATATATTGTTGGACTAGAACTTGTTCCATAGGGACTACGGTAAGTACTATTTAGTAGAGGGCTGTTTGAATTTGCATCGATAATATTACGAGCTGATCCCAATATTTCACGTTCTAACAGGTAACTTGACATTATTATATTTGTTCTTATTCTAAAATGATTGTGCACTTCCCGTTGAATACGCCACAAATACACAGCAATAGTTAGCAACAACTAAATGAACCACTGCCTGTTCACTTGCGAAAGTTTTACTGTTATTTATGAAAACAACTATATTCAAACTAAAAAAAGGTAATAGTCAATTTTGTATCCATCATGTATCCAAAACAGTAAGCATTTATAGTTTTCTTTTTTTTGTTTGTTTCTGTTCGAATACAATACATCACGAAGTGAGTCAATATAAACCACAAGTTGCGTAGTAAAAGATTTGACTACTTAAAATACTCAATCAAAAATACAAAATCAACACAAATCTATATAAGCGACGATAGTTTAATCAACATGCACATACATCATCATCTTTTCTGCACATATCCAGGATACGTCCTCTCCATTGATGGATATTTGTCTTAGTATGTATCCATTTCCTAACAAAAACTTTTTATTGTAAAAGTCTTTCACAAAACAATTTCATGAATAATCGTGCGTTATCTTAAATAGCGCATACGACCTTGTGCATAAAGCGATTAAACTGTTGGCATCAGCTTTCATCCAATAATGCCCATTCGTGTATTAAATTTACAGTCGAAATCAGCCGTCGTTGCCGTTCACACGGAATGAGAATACTTTTACATAATGGTTTTATTATGGGGCCCCCTACCAATAAAATGTATAAAAAAACTCTCTCCTACGATCACGAACACGAAAGTATCTTACTTAGAAATGAGAAAATAGTTTTCGATCAGGGAAAACGTTGTGTGATGAAACTTTGATCTGTCATATTTTATCTGTATAGACAACGTTTTCAATGATCAATGAACCAACCGAGAACAAAAATGGGTCTCCACTGTGAAAATCTGATTTCCACTTTGTTGTTTGTAGGGGGAATGCGATAGAAAACCGTGGGAACTCATTTTGCCTAAATAACATTAGAAACAATGTGTACAGATTTTCTTTTCAATTCCTATTCTTATTGGATTTCGCTGCCCAATAAGAGCACTGGAGCTATGAATGAATGAATGAATGAATGTATTTTGACTAAAGATGTTACATAGTCAGGAAACAGTAAACAAGCAAAAAAGAAAGTTTCGCTTACATAAGAAGCACTGTTGCCGATAGTGAGAGAGAAGTTAACTGTATTGATCGTTCTGCGCACAACCAAGTTTGCTTCTGTTCAATTAAAGTGATTTGTGACACAGTTAGGATTATGTTTCTGTTGATGCTTTTCCATTTTCTGATGTCAAACAGAGAAGAATGAATATTCTATCTGACAAAGAAAATCAGCAATGATTGAATATTATTTTTAGTCTAGGGATAAGAATGACTCATGTTCTCTTTTATAGATGAGGCAAAGATAACAAACTGCCCGAAAAACGATGAAGATCAATTCAACATCATTTTTTTTTCTACTGTTGTTTGTGTCTAGTTTCAACATCAATGTGAGACACTGTGACGAACATGATCATAAGGTAGATCTCCATTTTTTTACTTTTTTCTAACGTTAATTTAATCTTTTATTTTTAGTATTCTGAAGGCGATGAAGTTGTTTTGTGGATGAATACTGTTGGTCCGTATCATAATCGACAAGAAACGTATAATTATTTTTCACTACCGTTTTGTCGTGGTAATAAAAAGGAAATATCTCATTATCATGAAACACTAGGAGAAAACATTCTTGGTGTCGAACTAGAATTCAGTGGAATTGAGTAAGTGAAGTTAATACTATTTTCTATAAGAGAAAGATTAATGATGATGAAACTTGCTCTTTCGTTTAGCATCACTTTTAGACGCGCTAAAGCTAAAACTGATTTTTGTGAAGTAACATTAACAACGGATTATTTTGATGCATTTAAATATGGTATTAAAAATCATTATTGGTATCAAATGTTTATCGATGATTTACCTGTTTGGGGTATGTGAGGAGCACAAAGAGTTGAATGTTTTTGTTTTATAATATTTCTCTATATAAAGGCGTTGTTGGTGAAATGGACGATTCAGACAAAGCTGCTTATATTTGGACACATAAAAAGTTTGAAATTGGTTATAATGGTGATCGTATTGTCGAAGTAAATTTAACATCAGAAGCAAAAGTTCGACTACAACCAAATATGCAGTTACCATTTTCATATGAAGTTAGTATATTTTAGTTTATTTAAAGCGAAAAGATATGCGTTTCTCTGTTTCTCTCTTTAAGATTATTTGGAAACCAAGCGATATTCAATATGCACACCGTTTTGATAAATATTTAGATACAGGATTCTTTCAGCATAAAGTATGTGACAAATAATTTGTCTTTTAGACTTACCGGTGTTTGTTAATTTCTTTTTGTGTTTAGATTCATTGGTTTTCAATATTTAATTCATTCATGATGGTTCTATTCTTGGTTGGTTTAGTATCGATGATATTACTTCGTACCTTACGCAAAGATTACGCACGTTACGGAAAAGATGATGAATTAGATGACATGGTAAGGCTCATAACGATCGGTTATACTAATCGATTATTAAGCTTGCACGTCACTCTCTAACAGTAATGATCGTTTCACTGTTGTTTTTGCCTAATTAAAGTTCGCTGATTTAAAAATACAGAAAAATTTTCTTTGATTTTTTTATTCAGTCGTACTGTAGAAGAACAGTAAACTCCGAATTTTCTATTTGCTATTCATATAGGAACGCGATTTAGGCGATGAATATGGTTGGAAACAAGTTCATGGCGATGTATTCCGTCCACCATCATTTCCATTAATATTTGCATCACTCATCGGATCTGGCTATCAAATAGCTACTGTGGCTCTACTATGTATATCATTAACAATGCTTGGCGAACTTTATACCGAGTGTGTTTACCTTTTTTCACGACAATATTTAGACGTTGCTTTCATTATTGTTTTTTAGACGCGCTTTGTTGTTAAGTACAGCAATATTTCTTTATGCAGCAACAGCCATCGTCAATGGCTATACCGGTGGTAGCCTTTATGCACGAATGGGCGGTAAATTAATATTGATTGAAAAAATATAATTTGATAAGAAAACTCATGAATGTATGTTTTGTTTATTAAAGGCAAACTATGGATAAAACAACTAGTAACAGGAGCATTTCTAATCCCTGCTATTATATGTGGTCTGGCATTTTTGATTAATTTTATTTCAATTTATTATCGATCTTCGCGATCGATTCCATTTACTGTGATGGTTTGTAGAATCAAATTCGCTAATTTCAATGATCATTTATATTTTTTTATTTTCATCTTTAGCTTAGTGTTACAGCCATATGTTTGTTCATCATATTACCATTGACAGCTATAGGCACAGTACTCGGACGGAATATAAGTGGTCATCCAAATTATCCATGTAGAATAAATGCTGTACCACGACCAATACCGGAAAAGAAATGGTAAAAAAAAATGGCTGTTCCTTTTTAGTATGAAAGTGATGTTCACTTTGCAATGCTGTGTCTAGTACGAGACAACTATTTCTAGTAAAAAATTTTAATTATTCTAATTAAGGTTTATGGAACCAAATGTCATTATATTTGCAAGTGGAATATTACCGTTTGGTTCGATATTTATTGAAATGTAATATTTATGTTTGCATCACATATGTATTCACAAGAAAAAACCGTGTTTATTTGCTTTTTTTTAGGTATTTTATTTTTACATCATTTTGGGCATACAAAATCTATTACGTGTATGGTTTTATGTTGTTAGTATTTCTTATATTGGCCGTTGTTACCGTATGTGTCACTATTGTTGCCACTTATTTTTTACTGAATGCAGAAGATTATCGCTGGTAGGTTTAATTATATCATTGAATTTTTCAAATATATAACTAATTATTTTCTTGTATGTTTTTAGGCAGTGGACTAGTTTTCTTGCCGGTGCATCATCATCGCTCTATGTTTATTTTTATGCTATTTATTATTTCTTTTTTAAAACAAAGTTCGTATCGTTAATTTGAACTTTGAGTTTTTACATGACAAATATCTTATTTGGATTTTAGAATGTATGGGATGTTTCAAACAACATTTTATTTCGGTTATATGGCATTATTTTCAATTGGTTTAGGAGTTATGTGCGGTAAGAAAACTACTGAATTCAGGAAAATTTTACCAATACCTTGTATTTCAACAACTCGTTCTTTAGGTATGTTTGGTTTCGTTGGTACAAGTATGTTTGTAAGAAAAATTTATTCAACTGTGAAAATCGATTAGAATTTAACAGATGATCGCTTCACGTGCCACGATATGTGTAGAACATATATACATTTAAATATGTTTTTTTCAAATCTCAAACTGTTATATTATTTTTCTGCTCTCTTTCGTTTCTCGTTCTACGCTTCCGGATTAAGATCTAAGACGGTTAAATATATCCGCAGACGAACATAGAGACTCGGTGATTGCAAGCGGCATAATTCTTTTAAATTTATTTATTATGCATAAACAGCACATTTCGTATTTTGTAATTTTTTGGCTAAATGATCTATAAGCAAAGAACACATTGGCAGTACACTTTTATTTACATGTTTTCTGCCGGCTTATTTTTGTTGTTAGTTCAAATTTACATGAATAGATTTATTTATTTTCTTTTTCTGTTGCTGTCTCTTTGTTCAACGAAACACAATCTCGCTTATGCTTGTGTGTTTGCATATCGATCATGGGTATGTTTGATAATGATGTTGTTCTCTCTATTGACATAAGTTATGTAAAGAGATATATCAAATTTGTTTTTCTTTCACTTACATTATTATTATCATTGTTTTACTTTCGTTTGTTCGACTTTTTCCCTCTGTTTTTTGTTTGTTTGTTATATTTCAGAAAAAATTTTAATTAAATGTTTACAGTTTAGGATTATACGTCTATTCAGATAAATGGATGTTGCACCAAAGAAGAAATTTTTCTCCTATTTTGTTTGCTATTTTCTCCGTTAAAATTAGCACATTCTTTTATTTTCCCATTTTTTATCGATAAGGAAAAAAATTTAAGCTACATATCAAGATAGAAAACAGAAGTTCTGTTCGTGAATGTAGAACGCTAAAATTTTCAGCAAATTTGTGACCATAATATTCGATTACAATAAAAGTTTACAAAAAATGGCTGAAATTTTTGGCAGAGGTACAAGATCCAATCTCAGAGACTTTTTACAAAATTTCTGTATTCTTCTTGAGCTATTATAAAAATCCTTGAAAAATAGCTAAACTAACCCAAAGCTTGAAAATTAAAAAAGCATCTATTGCTTCGTCTTTTATATCCCTAGCTAGAGCTCGATTCGGATGAAAATTGGACGGAATATGAAATGGTCGGGTCACAGGTTGAACTCATCTTAAAATGATAAATACGTATGGTGCAGTGTTGCGATGTTTAGAGATCTGCTCCAGAAGTAAATTTTTTGTAAGCTGATCATAGATATTTCGACCCTTACTGGAAATTACACTCCTACCATTTTGGCACATTCATCTCTCGTGTATCTAAACATGATAGTAAATATCTCATCTACTTGTTTTTTCTAACAAATTCTATCCTGATCCCAAATCTGGTATTGTTTACTTGACGCCTAGAAGCGAAGATATAATTGTAGAAGTTATTTTCTTAACAAACGTACCATCAGTTCAATATTTTGACTATAACTTTTTTCGGCCTAAATACTCGATCTTTTATAACTATAGTGTCTTGTTGATTCGACTTCGATGCTATTTTCTGTCAAATATACCACTGCAACAACCCTCTATCTTTCATCAATATTGTTTTAATACTTATCAATTCTTGTCAAAATAGAATATGAAAAGTTTTCAGAATCCTATCTACGAGAAGAAATTGATTTTTGGTCACGCGTGCAATATTTAACAAGAAGAAATTGTAGCACCTCTTTGAGATTCTTATTAAAATAAGATTCGATGACATTTGCTGTATCCATATATATAATTAACATATCGTTGGTTGTTGTACATTGCTTAATTTCCAGGACATTTTTCAAATGTCACTTGCATTCTGAGCTAAAGTAATGAAAGTTCGTGCGTTTTGTTTTCTTTTACAAGAGATTATATGAAAATAAAAAGTCACCCGTCAATGTTTTAGATCTGATGCATAAACAATGTTATTAGAATGATTACATAAGTCGAATAGAAATTCAGGTTTAAAACGTTTAATCTTGCTCGTCATGTTCAAATAGTAGAGAAGCGAGGCTAATTATCTCACCTTTTAGTGAAAAAGGTATGTCGACATGTTATGCTTACATCCTTTTTTCTGAATACTACTTAGATTAAGATTTATTTCTACTGCTGATCGTTGTTGCTGTTGTTGTTTCATAGCTATACGATTCATTAATAATTTCCCTTCTTCAAAGGATTCAATTTGTGGAAACTCATTGAGAAGAAAAAATTTTGATTTATGTTGTTTTTGTTCATCATTCCAAAACGATGTAATAACAGATGGTAATAGGCTAAAATTTGTCGACAATTCTGTCTGTTCAAATTTACTTATGTATTTGTGTTTTTTGATTGATAATCGTGATTTTGATTGTTGACGATGTAATTGTAAAGGAATGATCTTTGGTGTTGTAAACGAAGACGATGAAAGTTCTGTAGCGTTGTTCGATAAAGCCTTTTTTACACTATTTCGATATGAACTTGCTGCAATTCTACACATGTCTAGATTTAAATGTTGTAATTGACTTCCAATTAAACGTTCATCTCTTCGTAAACGTTGTAATTCTAGTCTAAAAATGAATATACAGTAAGTAAAAAAATTGTCTTTTTACCATTCGATAGTCCTACGTCTCAGCTTTGTTTATTGTTAATTACAGTTTTTTATCTTAAGTTTTTCTATCAAAAGAAAGAAGTTTTTCTACTTTGACCTGGTTTTTTTCTCAATAAGTGTTCTTATGATCACTTTTTCATATCCATTTGATCTATTATTTTTTCAAGATTATATGAATTGATATTTGTTCGACAACTTGGAAAATCATAAAAATTCCATAATGAACAATCAAATATAACTATAAATTATTACACTCATAATTTCATGTTTTACAGGAAGTCTACAAGCTGTCGACGAAATAAGAATCAAGTTTAATTGATTCTAAACATAGTGTCGATGAACCAAGATAACAAGAATCCCTCATCTATTTTGATATTTATCGAAGAGATAGAATTTTGTTTATATACTATTCGAAAGAGTAAAGTCTGAGCAACCACTCAGTCGTCTGAGTCACCCTCAGTGGGCAACCAGGCGGAGATAAAACGAAAGTGTTATTTTTCAAAGTTTAAACATTGAAATAATTACTTCTGATCTATCTTGTCCTGAAATAGCATTTTCAGAAATTAAGTTAAACATTGGAAAAACACATACTAAGAAATTTGTTCAAAAACCGCTATCCTCAGATAAAGTTAATTTTTTGATCAACCTACTGGAATAGTTTAATTTGAAAAACTATCTGAAAAGAATTATTCATCTATGAGCTCCATTTTAATGGAAAGATCATTTCCATTGAACTTAAATTGCTATAGCAAAAAAAATCTACTAGGCTAAAACTGAGTATCAAAAATGCATCATTCTGTATTTTGTAAACGCTACAAACAGCTAAAGTCCAACCGAGCTCAACCTTTCGCTAAATATTCCTCTATGTGTGCTCTACCATTGGCCATAGCGGCCAATTAGCGCCAGTGATTCTGGATTGTGATGGAGGTTTTCCAACAAACCATGGTTTTTGGCACCAAATGCTTTTTTTCGCAACTAAGACAACATTTTAGCGTAAAATCAACGTGATATTCAGAATTAGCTCTTCGAGCTGCATCGAACCATATATAACATTGATTTTTCCAGAAAACGTTTTTAAATTTTCTATGCTAAAAATGTTTCGGGAAATTCACCATTCCACATTTTGTAAACGCTACAAACAGCTAAAGTCCACTCGAGCTCAACTTTCTGCCAAATATTCCTCTATGTGTGCTCTACCATTGACCATAGCGCCAATGAGTCTGCATTGGGCTGGAGGTTTTCCAAAAACCACGGACTTGGGAGCTCTAGGACTGGCACTCGATGACTATTGGTAGCCCTGAAAACGGATGGACTATCGGCAATCGATCATGCTGAGCCTCGTGGCAATATTTGTTTTTAGAAAAAGTTCTAAAAACCCACCGAAAAGCCAGTTTTACGAAAACTTGCGTTTTCAGGCTGTTTTCACCTAATATCAAAAAATCCACTAATCATCACTCAAAAAACATCATAACAAGTTCAAAATTTCAGAATTTAGAGTATTTAAGCTATGTTATATCCTATTTATAGGAGATCTTGAACGAAATTTTACACAACCCTAAGGTTTTCCAAACGAATATCTGGAAAACCTATTAACAAAAATATGCTTTTCGATGTTTTTGATCTTATATCCGCGTTTAGCGGACAATATTAATCATATCCTGTGGTTCTGAACTCGTTCTGATATTTTTTGAGAGAATATTGAATTTTTTAATATTAGACGAAAACAGCCTGAAAATCCTAGTTTTCGTAAAACTGGCTTTTCGGTAGATTTTTAAAATTTTTTCTAAAAACAAATATTGCCACGAGACTCAGCATGATCGATTATCCATAGTCATCCGTCTTCAAGGCTACCCATAGTCACCGAGCGCCAGTCCTGAGACTTGTAGGAAATCCGATACAACGCCCGAACCGCGGAAATTCAAGGTCTCACTTCACTTCCATTTTGAAGGGAACACCTCGGGCTATCAGTTCATGAAAAGAAAGCAATACAATCCTATTGGAAACTTTTTACAGACGACCTAGTTTTCCACAGATTTCTTAGTTAACCTGTTTCAGAAAAGTCTTCCGAAAACAATTTAGGTTATTTTAACACCCCTCCAAGTCTCCTCTTTCGAATGGCGAAAATCGGAGCTCTCTAGTTCTTTTCTATCAAAAGTTATTACTGAATTATTGGCACATGTCCGCCTACTCTAGCCAAATTTGCCCACTATGAGCTACACGATGAAAAAATAATTATCAAAAATAATGATGTCTGATGGGTGAAAAAAGTTGTGCTCATAATTAATTAGAAAGATCCATTTCTTTGATTTAAAACTCCTCAAAAGAATAACTTTAAATATATCATTGAAGGATAGCGCTTGAAAAACTGCGTGTATCCGTTGTAGTTTAATTAAAATTAACTAATCATCTCATGTCGTTTAAATCAAATTATTTTTTTCTCTCACTGATGACATCCTGAGTAATGGAACAATATTTCGCTGTTCTTTTCCTTTGTGTCTATGTGAATATCATAGAAATTAAATCGTCTTGGCATATACTACTTATTGCTATACTGCGGTGCGGTGTACATACCTAAATTGCGAGTTGAGTCCTTTTGGTCCATTAATGTTTTCTTTCAAACGTCGATCAAAAACTTTGTTTGCTTTTTCCCTTTGCATATCCGCACATACTACAGTTTGCATCGTTGGTACGAATCTAGCCATTCTTTCTTTTAATTTCATTATATTATTATACTACTTTTCACATTTAGCAACGTTATTAAGCAACAAGTTTTGGATTTTGTAATAATATTTCACTTCTATAATCACTGGAGTCGAATCATTCATAGTCAGTGTATGTCTTATAGACATCTATAAGAAAGTAGTTTCCATTCACAAAAATATTTTAAAAATAGTAGAAATAAGAATTTTTTATTGAAAAAAATTAATATCGGTGACTCTAAGGCTTCATGGTGAAATATAATTTATACTGGATTTTTTCACATACACACATACTCTATTGTTTTAATTAGGTATTGTCATTGTTTAATCAAGAGAAAATAATAATGAAGGACGAAAAAACCGCAGTTTAAGAATATTTTTTTGACTTTATTCTTAAGAAAAACAGAGAATGTAAAATATTTTTGAAACGTAGTAATATTGAAAAACGTAGAAGTACAATTCTTAAGAAAGATTTCAAAGTCTTGTCTCTTCATAATTAAAACTAAGTAAGGGAGTATTTTAAAAAATTAGAATGCATAATTGCGACGTATTAGCTATTCAAATCGGCTAAAAAAAATGAAAGAAACAAGTTTGTTATTAACGAAACCATTAGTTGGCCAACGATCAGATCTATCGTATGCTTTGTTTCTAACTTATGCAAAAATATATTTTTAAGCTTTTTTTAGAAACGTTAACTGCTTGAGAAAGTCCCTTTATATCACATCATTCTTTCTTAATTTCTATGTAAAATTTCGCTCTAACTTTTTCAACTCAATTCTATTGCTACTAGAGGTGGGTGAAACGGCGTGTTCAAATATCGCGTTTCATCTTGCCTCATGAGTTTCTTGTTTTGTCTCGTCTTGCCAATCGTTGTGCCTTCATATAAACGACGCTGAACAAACGTTAAGAAACGTATCTCGTACTGGTTTGTTTATAGTGACTTGAATGATATTCATTGTAGTGAAAAACCGATTCATTTTGGATTATCTTAAGTTTCAGACATGTACTAAACGCAATGGATGAATCTTGGAAAAACAAGATTTTACAGCATTTTATGGTTAGTTTTTGGGAGTCTTTGTGCTTCATTTCATGCTCTTCACGCTGAGATATATACTCCTGCATACATATATTCAGAAGCACAGCTCGCTGCTATGCTGTAGCAGTCACTAACACACTCTTGTGCGACATGGTTCGAAATGATTTATATTCATAATCCTAAATAATATATATTAAAATAAGTATAATATATTTATAAAGTTGTATAGAGTGAATTTTGACTGCTTTATGTTCTAAATATGGACAATGAGCCTTCTTCCTATGGAAATCGAAACTGAGCTCGTTAATTTTTCGGATATTTGTAAAAGGTGAAAACATTCACTAACAGTCCAAAGTTCCTCTAAATTAAAATTTGAGATAGCCAATCGATAGAACTCGTCGAGTTCAGTATACAGATGCCCAAAAAAGTATGCCAAGTTGATCTATATGACTCTCTGAGCCTAGTGATACGATTTGTGATCGATGAAAACGACCTGGTGAAGTTTTTAAAAAATTAATTGTTTTCTCATGTCACACCTATAGTAAAAGAACTTTTTTCTAATTTCAAAGTCAAGATATATAGACATATTATATACTTTTAGGGAGCCCATGAAATTCTCCACAAAACCGCTCCTTAGCATTTTTATAAAAATTATTTATTACATTTTTTTATTCTATTTAACTTTCTGAATTTGCGTCCTATTGTAAATAAAGCACATATAATTTCATTAGTAAGAGACCAACTTTCATGAGAATCTTACAGTAGACTCAGCTCTTTCTCCTCTATCAACTTCATGCACCAAGATTTTGTTTTGGTTTTAACATGCTAAATTACGAGACTTACTGAACTTGAGAAAAAAAAAGCGTTAGTGAAGAATAAAATGGTATTATAGCTTGAATAACATATGACGATAAATAAATAAGGTTTCAGTTGTTTTGGTAATGATGTTAAACCTCTACTTTTGGATCTTGATGTGAATGTTGCTGGGGTTCTGGTAGATCCAGTAATCCCTCATCGACTCTATTTGTCTGGTTTTCTTCTTACTGTTGAGGGAATATTAAAATCTGGACTAACACATCGTTAGGGGGACTGAATGTGTAGTGGTATTTAACAATCTCTGCTCTTGGGATTTTAGCATGGGGGAAAATCATCAGCAAAACAACTTGAATAAACTGAAACCTTATCTATTTATCAATACACTGTAAAAAAACAAGTGCCCAGAGGCACTTGTTTTTTACAGTATAGGTGTTAGCATCGCTTTTTCTTGATATTAGTGGACGTTTATTTGTAAAGATGGCCAGATAGCCCAGCTATTAAGGATTGTTTTGGATGTTAGTGGGCACTGGTATTAGTGGCATAGCCGGAATTTTGTTAGTGGGTGGGCGTTGCCCCAAAATTTTTCAAAGTGGTAGACAGTAACACAGAGTAGTGTGAATTATAAAATTTTTAGTGGGTAGGCAAAACCAATTAGTGGGTAGGCTGAGCCCAGAACGTCGCATATTTGGTAGTTATGAAACTTGTTTGTAGGATTTAACAATTCGTAAATGGGTTTTATTATTCACATTGTATTGAGATATTCTGAAATGTTTTTTGAAGAAATCGGCTAATGCATTAACAAGCTTTTTAATTGTCCTCAACGAATTCAATCGAAGTGATTATATCTCGAAAAACTGGCGTATAAGAGTGAAATATAAGTCGCACATATTTCCACATGTGTTATCCTCCTTTCATCCACGGCGGCTTTACTCTCTTTCTTTTAACAATGACTACTATATTGAACAATTAATTGTAAAAACGGGAAACATTCTCCAGTTTGTTATAAGAAAAGTTTGATTCCATTTGACGAAAATAACTGGAAAGTAGTCAGAAGTCCTAATACCTCTGCTGTTTATCCGAAACCAGTATTAGTCGCTTCAAATGCAGTGACTGATTTAGAGTGACTAGATGTTCATTTACCAGGAAAATTCATTTGATCAACGTTTTTAAATCATGTCTCCACAGTGATTGATAAATCTTGTTTATCTGAATAAAGGGAAAAAAACAGAAATGCCTAGGGACTCATACAAGATCCTACGGGATCCATAGATATGTAGACTAAGCAATTATGATAGAAAAACGAACAGTTTTTAGAGAATAGCATGCAGAAAATCTGTATCTAACAACAAGAACAAAAAGAAAATTTAACAATAATAGGAGAATAAAACAAGTTGGTGATGGAAAATAGTAAAAAGGAAAGGAGAAAGGAAGAGAAGAATTTCTATGTGTATGTATAAGATAATTAAGAAGCTAAGCACAGCAAAGCGTTTCGTCTGAATCAGATAATCAGTGACTATATTGATAACCTAAGTAGGAGTTTTTTTCTCAAACCCAGCTTCAGGCAATATACGGCTTGTCCAGCTAACGGCCTCCATTTTTTGCTCTTTTTCGAAAAGTTATTGCAATAAAGCTACAAACTAATCTAAAATGATAATTAGATGATTAAGTAGATTAAATATTTCTCTACAAAATGAAAAGTGTCTCGGCTCTGAGCGTTGATTCGTTATGAAAATACAGCTGTTGTACAAACAGCCCCAAAAATCGATTATTGAGCTATCCGAAAGCGTGTCTGGAAGTGTGAAGACGAGCTGGGCATTTTGTGGCATTTTGTAAGGAAATGTTTAATCTACTTAATCATCTAGTTGTTATTTTAGATTAGTTTGTAGCTTTATTGCAATAACTTTTCGAAAAAGAGCAAAAAATGGAGGCCGTTAGCTGAACAAGCCGTATAGTTCGTAGAAAACAGGAATATTGGGTAATTCAGTCAGCAAAAACGTAGAAGCTTTTATCGAAGTATTTGATACGAAGGATATGCTAGACAATAATGAGAAACTGTCTCTTTTACCTGATTATCAAATGCTTTGTCAAATAAGTCATTGGTTAGCTGAAAAAAATCAACGTCACAATGTGGTTAATACTAAACGTTGTGTTGGTAAAAGCGTTCATCTACGGATTAAGAAATAGGCTTAGGAAGCCTATGGCAGCCTGCGCTTTTTCACCGTTTTCCAGACAGTTTCTAAAACAAATTATTTTGGATTTCTATCTCCAAAAATATTATTTTTATACTTTTTTTGGTACTATCGGACGTATTCCTAGTTAGAAAATTACTCGAATCTTACCAAGATCATGAGATCCGAAAATTTTAAGATTTGACAAAATATTTTTAGGGGTCAGTTTGAACTGCACATTCTCTAAAAAGTTGTTGGACACTGTCGAGAGAATAAGTACTAGCAAAGTCTGGAAGAAAAATAACAATGTGAAATTCGGTTATATTTACGTTTTCGCTTATATGGATGGATGAAAGCAAAATAAAAGCGTGAATGCAATTTGTCTACTCATCAAATCGTATTCAGGTCTTAGTTAAGATCTCAGATTATCTTATCATGATCTTACAAGATCTCACTACAAGAATTTCAAGAAACTGATTGTTTTCGTTCTTTCAAGTACTGGAGTGTATATTTCGTGCATACACACCTCCTTTACAGCATCTTCGAGATACATGGATAATGCGTGGAGAATGGTGCACCAAACTGTACATTAAATCTATTTTGCATTGGATCTAATACAACAGAAAATCATACAATCTGGTCTAAACAGTCGGACGCAGAACAAATACAAAGGATATATTGCTGATTAAACAAACGAGCATCCGGTGCAATAAAACAAAACATGATAACTTTATCGAATGCCCAAAACGCTGATGTCAATCTGTGATCACCTACTCTATGTATATCCTGAAGTCAAAAGTTCTTCTTTTTCAAGTCAATTAGTCAGACGCCTCTATACCAATTATCTTTTCCTTCTTAAAAGATGATAATTTTCGAAGGTCAAGAATGATTTCCTAAAATCGTTTTCTACCCTGTAGAAATATCTGAAGACACTCTACATAGTTAATATGGTGATCACATAC